AAGGGGTGCAGCTTCAGCTGCTCCACCTTCAAGCGCTTCGACTGGTCGCAACACAGCCTGTGGAGTGACACACACAGTCACGAAGTGGTCAGCCTCCACCCAGCCTACAAAATTTGGTTTGAGGGAGGAGGGGGTTGGCGCGTACTGGAAGATGAGGTCCTGGGCCTCGGGCGAGAGTTCCACCTCCTCCGGGAATTGCAACGTTTCCTGGAGTTGGAATTGAATTGGGATTGGGGGGGGGGAGAGGGCACGGTGGTGAGCCGAGCCGGACGCAGGGCCAGAGAGAGGGTGAGAGGGCGCCACACACACCTTCCAGTTCATGATCTTACGATAGGTCTCTGTCGGCGTCTCCGAGCAGAAGGGCGGATACCCACACAGCATCTATACCACCCCGCATATATGCCATATGTTAGATAATAGATATAGGTATTCGGGGGGGGGGGCGAGAGAAGGGTAAAAACCTCGAACATGATGACGCCCACACTCCACCAGTCGCACTCCGGGCCGTAGCCCTTCTGCAGGAACACCTCGGGCGCAATGTAATCCGGGGTGCCGACCGTGCTGTACGCCTGTCGACACAAAAAGACGACCAGTGGCGCACACGTTATTGTCCGTTGCAATGCGACTAACCAAAAGAAAAGGGAATAAATAATAACAATAATAGTACATAATAATAATAGCAAGCATAATAGTAAATATGTGCATACCAGGACTTTCCTCTTTTGTTTCCAGGTGTTGATCTTCTCCCGCTGGGACTTGCGGTCGGTGTCGGTGTCCTTGAGCTCGGTGGTCTCGCCTATGAGCTTCTTGTAGAGGGACTTGAACTGCTTGGTCTGCAGGCCCGTGCAGAGGCCGAAGTCGCTCAGCTTGATGTGGCCGTCCTGGTCGAGCAGCAGGTTGTCCGGCTTGATGTCGCGGTAAAATGGGGGTTGTTGATATTGTTGAGTGAAACAACCACCAAGATGACATTCGCGTTGGTGACATGGGTTGTTGTTGTTGATGATGATGATGATGTGTGTGTGTGTGTGTGTGTGTACCTTGATGTCGCGGTGGATGTAGCCCAGCTGGTGGATCGAGTCGATCGCCAGCACGGTCTCGGCGATGAAGAACCGCGTCTGGTCCTCGGTGAAGGTGTCGTACTTGATGAGCATGGTCATCATGTCTCCGCCCGGCACGTACTCCATGATCAAGTACAGGTAGTCGATGTCCTGTTCGCGACACACACGACACGACACGACACGACACGACACGACGCACGCACAAAGCACACGTGCCGAAGATCAGAAAAAGAACGAACAAAGCGAAGAAGGGGGGAGGGGGTAGAAGAGAGAAGGACGAAACCTGGAAGGAGTAGTAGAGGGAGACCACCCAGGGATTCTTGGTGTAGAAGTAGTTGTTGTCGGCCAACGCGTCCCGCTCGGCCCGCACGTGGTCCACCTAGTCGCGTTCACCGAATGACGCGTAAGCGTGATAGACCACACACGCGGCACGACACACACACACACAACACACAACACACAACACACACGCCGGTGCGGAGAAGCGAGGTACCTGCTCCTTCTTGATCATCTCAGACTTCTTCAGCTTCTTCATGGCGAAGAGGTCGTTCGCTCCCTTCATCTTTACCAAACGCACCTGTCATAATTGCAACAAAAAGAAGAGGTGAGTTAACGCCAACAATTATTCGTGTATTATTACAACATTAATTATTTGTTTAGCAATATAATAAATTGGGTTTGGAAAAAACAAAAAAGAGAACGAAAACGAAGACGAAGGTACCTCGCCAAAGGCACCGCGGCCGATGACGGCGACGGTGTCGAAGGAGTGCTGAGTGAGACGCATGCGACGGATGCGGATGAAGTCGGTTTCCTTCTTTGCGAGTTCCTTCCTGAGCTTGTCCCTCTTGGTTTCGCTGAGGTTGAGCTCCTTCATGCGCTGCTCCAGCCTGCTCCGCCTGTGGTTGCATCGAGATGCAAGAATAAAAATGTTTTTCAGCCCATTTCATTCATTCATTCATCAAGCAACGCCCCCGCGCAAAATCGCGAATGTAAAATATTAAAATGAAATTTGAATGTAAACAGCAAACACATTGATGAGGGAGGCCGCAAGTCGTACCTGCCCTCTCGCTCTTTCTCGGAACGGAAGAAGTTGTGGTAGTACTGTTCGATGGTGAATTTGGCCGCCGCGGCCCGCTCGACGACGTTCTTCGAGAAGTCCCCCACCACGGCATCGTCACTCGTGATGTCGAATGAGCCGCTGTCGTCATACATTTCTTCCATCTCGTTTTCTTTGTCAGGCCAAAGGGCTGTCAAGGTACAGGGTAATGGACAGGGATGGTAGAAAACTTGATCCAATCCAATGCAACCTGAGCCACCACGTTACCAGATAATGAAATTGACGCTATTTGGCGTATGCACATTTTTCTTTTTGATTTCTCGATCTAGAATCAAGAAAATGAAAGGAAATGATTGGCACAAGTAAAGATTTGCGTGCGTGGAAAGGAGAAGGCGGCGTAGTACAAGAGTCACCTCCCCCCACCACGCTGCTCGCCTCTCTTCTGCTTCACAAGGCATAGGGAGCCGCCAAGACACTCGACAATCAATCATATATTCATCTTGCCAAGATGGGATTATTCTTCCCTCTGGCCGTCGCGTTTGTGGCGCCCCTCTTGGCGTCTCTCGTGCCCAAGTTCATCTATCGCCAGGGCCTGAGCGCCAAGGCCAACCACATCATGCTGGGCATCTCGGCCGGTCTCCTCTTCGCCATCGCCACCCTGGACCTCGTGCCCGAGGCCTTCTCCATGACGGCCCAGGCCTCCTTCTCTGCCCCGTC